CCAGCCTATGTTTGTGCTTCTGTATAAAGATGCTTATTTCAACACTAACGAACTTAATGATTCTTTGCCTAGTGTTGTTAAATCTCTTTTGCAGAACTTCAAGTATGTGTTTCCAAATGATGTTCCTAATGGTTTACCACCAGTAAGAGGAATCAAGCATCAAATTGACTTCATTCCTGGTGCAACAATTCCAAACCGGCCAGCATATCGAAGCAATCCCAATGAGACGAAAGAACTTCAAAGGCAGGTCGAAGAACTCATGAAAAAGGGACATGTGAGAGAAAGCATGAGTCCATGTGCAGTACCAGTGCTACTTGTGCCTAAGAAGGATGGGACTTGGCGTATGTGTGTTGATTGTCGCACGGTCAACAAAATCACTGTAAAGTATCGTCACCCTATTCCTAGATTAGATGACATGTTAGATGAGTTGCATGGTTCTTGCATATTCTCTAAAATTGATATCATCAGATTAGGATGAAGGAAGGAGATGAATGGAAAACAGCCTTTAAAACGAAACATGGTTTATATGAGTGGTTAGTTATGCCGTTTGGATTAACTAATGCGCCTAGTACATTCATGCGATTAATGAATCATGTTTTGCGTGCTTTCATTGGCAAATTTGTGGTTGTTTATTTTGATGACATTCTAATATATAGCAAGAATTTAATTGAACATATTGAGCACGTGCGAATGGTACTAGAGGTGTTGAGAAAAGAAAAGTTATTTTGCTAACCTTAAAAAGTGTTCCTTTTGCACAAATCAGATTGTTTTTTTAGGGTATGTTGTTTCAGCTGATGGAATCGCAGTAGATGAAGCAAAGGTTAAGGCTATTAAAGAATGGCCAACACCTAAAAATATTTCTAAGGTGCGGAGTTTTCATGATTTGGCAAGTTTCTACCGGAGATTCATCAAGGATTTCAGCACAATTGCAGCATCGTTGACTGAAATTGTGAAAAAAAGTGTTGGATTTAAGTGGGAAAGTGAACAGGAGAATGCTTTCAATTTAATTAAGGAAAATTTAATTTCTGCACCATTACTTGCTTTACCTGATTTTACTAAAACTTTTGAAATTGAATGTGATGCATAAGGTATTGGCATTGGCGCTGTTTTGATGCAAGAGCGGCAACCTATTGAATTTTTCAGTGAAAATTTGACTGGTGCAGCACTTAACTATCCTACTTATGACAAGGAGATGTATGCATTGGTAAGAGCTTTAGAGACATGGCAGCATTATCTTTGGCCTAAGGAGATCGTGATACATACTGATCATGAGTCATTGAAGCACCTGAAGGGACAAGGTAAGTTGAATAGACGACATGCTAAGTGGGTGGAATTCCTTGAGACGTTTCCCTATGTGATCAAGTATAAACAAGGAAAGGAAAACATTGTGGCTGATGCATTATCTCGTAGGTACACACTTATCTCTACCCTAAGTGCAAAGTTATTAGGTTTTGAGCACATTAAAGAATTATATGCTAATGATCCAGATTTTGCTA